AGCAATATAAGTACATTCAAATAAAGGTAGATACTGTTGTCTGATACAGTGCCTCTGCTCAACTGTATATTTATCAATTTCCGTTTGAAAAACTCTAATGTACTAGAAATGTTTTTTTTTAAAATGTGCACCGGAATACTTAATACAGAAGTTAATGTATTGGCTTGTAATAATGTACCTGCAGGTGAGAGAATACTCCTGAGAATTTAAAAAAGAAAAATCCTCATCCTCCTGAATTGACTACTCACACAAACATTTTTTTATGTTGACGATATAATATAATGTTATTACACTTCACATCTTCTAAACTGATGTTGTAAACAACATCACAGTCTTAATTTAGTCATATTCATTTTGTGTTATCTATACTATTGTAAAAGTATAGTAATTGACTTTGTGCTTTTCCTGTTTTGTGATATTGTTTGTGTCTTTTATGTTTGTATGTTTTTTTGAATTGTGCAAAAATGAACTATCCGAAAGTAAACTTAATACAGTAACGTATTTTAAATAGAGAACACCCTAATTTAGGGAAATGATGTGCTGCATTTACACATTAACAAATACGGTACAACCCACAACCCTTCCCCCCCGCCCCCTCTCCAACACACACTCACACAGGCACAGCTCGCCCTGTCTCAGATTGAGACTGCAGATTGAGGCCCGATACATCTTTAATTAAAAAGATTGAAGAGAGTGAAGGAGAAGCTGAGTATCTCTGTGAAGTAAACCTAATTAAAGCAACAGCACATCTCCGCTCACTTTTCTCCCCAACTAAAGAAAAAGCAATGGATTGTGTGTCCCAGAAAAACAAACCATACGGTCTTATTTGAGTCAGTTTTAAACATTTATTTTAGTAATATTGATTCCCTTTCATGAAGTGCAGCTGTTGTGGCTCTCAGCAAGTAGCGTGACGTAAGACTATTAAGACTACTGCTCCTACCGCCGTCCAAGGACATGCTCATTGGTGAGTCTAAGGCTGGATACGAATTGTCAAAAAAATGACGTCCTAATGTTTCCTCAACCTCTGTGGAAAACATCACAGGGTGAAGGAAAGATGGTTCGGAGAATTCATGAGGAGTTAGGAAAAGACGCTGTTTAGGGAATCCAACCCAACCCTCACTCAGCTACATAGTTCTGATGCAAATTCTGATGTTAGTGACGTCAGTCTGCAGCAGCAAAACTACAATTCGGACTACAAAGAAGCATCTTAGATGCCTTCATGTGTTGTTACAGTGCTGAGTCATGCAGCCAACATAAATAACCAGGTATAACCAGTATAAATGAGTTAACGGTTACCTACATGATCTATCAACATTAATGCGCATCACAAACTTTGTTTCTTCCACAGAGTATTTGTACTTTCTCGTCTTGCAGGATAGTGGTTCTATCTGATGGTGGTTGTTCTTGCACTGGTCGTGCCGTACACCTGGCTTACTGCTTGCAATTTCTGTGATATGAATTGAATGTTTTGTATATCTTTTCTGCTGTTCATTGTGTACATGACATCCTTTGTAGTTTGTCTCTCCCGGTAGAGGGATCCCTGCGCTGCCTCTCAGGGCTTCACAATGTATTTGTCAGTTTGAGGTTTTATATACAGTATATATATTTAAAGCAATAGCAGACACTTTTCTTATGGGTAAGTAGAATAAAGAACCTATCGTGTTATGTACTTTAGGCATATGACACAACTACATACTGTATATTTCATTAAATATGATGCCTACAACAAAGGGGCTGCTGGGTTTTGTCACGGTTTGGGTTAATGTCTGGTTTTATTTTGTAGTTTCCTTCCTCTGTTCTCCCTGGGTCACGTCACTTCCTGCCTTGTCCTGTCGTCCGCTGTGTTGTCTTTTTATGTCATGATTGTTCCCAGCTGTGTCCAATCACCTGCACCTCCCTTGTGTATTTAAGCCATGTGTGTCTGTTGTCACTTGTCGCGTCATTGTTCATTGTATGGAAGTCCTAGTCCCCGTCCACGTCCACGTCCACGTTCACGGCCACGGCACCAATCTCGTTCTCGTTCTCGTTCCTGGTTCCTGTCTTCGTTTTTGGCCTTTTGCTTTTGAAAACCTTTTTGACAATTAAAGTCCCTTTTCTTTTTGAAAACTCTGCGTCTGAGTCCTACCTTCCCCGCCATGCAGCTTCCTAAAAGGGACTTTAATTGTCAAAAAGGACAGGGACTAGGACTTCCATACAATGAACAATGACGCGACAAGTGACAACAGACACAATAAAATACACAAGGGAGGTGCAGGTGATTGGACACAGCTGGGAACAATCATGACATGACAGACAATCACAACGGACGACAGGACAAGGCAGGAAGTGACGTGACCCAGGGAGAACAGAGGAAGGAAACTACAAAATAAAACCAGACATTAACCCAAACCGTGACAGGTTTCTTTTTTGGCATTCTGGCTTTACAACCGAGAAAATGTTGGATCAAATCACAGTATAATATTGTGAAACACTCACTCTGAGTACGTCCATTATCCGTTTATTCCTTTTGGCCCTTTAGATAAGTCTTTATGAAGTTCTATGGTCCCTTGTCTCGAAGTGGAAGCAGGCCTGCTCCCTCCAACACATTACACAGTATATTATCTGCAGCTTCTGCCTTTAGCTTAAAGGTACTTCATTTCCACCCAATGTTATGGGAGTGATTTCCAATGTAGATAAACTGTTGATAGGCCAAGATTTAAACAGTAATTACATCATGTTTTATAATAATCCCTAAGAAAATGATGGGAAGCTGGATGAAAGTGTGCATCAATCAAATGTAACAAACCCAATTATTGTCAGCCCTGCCTGCTTTTCCTCGCTGCTCACAGCCATCACATATCTCCCCATGACTCAGTGCTGATATGGCAATTACAGCCATGAAGAGCCTCTGCTAATAACTGCAATCCAATCACTTCACAGCACGCATGGAAGGGAAGAGGGCCGTACGATAAATAATGACAACCCGCAATTTACTTGATATTGTTATTTTTTATGCTTGCCTCCTCAATAACAGCCTTATAAATGGCTTTAATTTGGCCTCCTTCTACGAGCTTCTTCATCCAATGGCACGTTGTTTGCTGGAGTATAGCAGTGCATATGTACACAGACACACACACAAAGGACGTATGGTGAGTTAATTATTCAGTGACAGAAAAACAGTAGTTTCAGGTCCCCTATTTGGCAATAAGTTTGTGGTGATTTTATTAAGTGAATTTTTTGGTTAATACTGTGTGCGCTGATAGCACGCTGTAATATTAGCGTTATTTTGTGAAGTGATGGGCTCTTGAAAGAATAGCATACAAACACAAACTGTATGGAGCTGGAACTGGGAAATGGTGTGCTTAGCTTGGAGACCGGAGACTAGGAGAAACAACTATGCTCCTATGAATTAAATATACTGACTCAATAACGAAAACAATATTTCCTTGGTAAAAGAGGGCAGTTAACTGCTGCGAGTATTTCCTGGTGGACAACAGCTGTGTGTAGTCGCTTCCTGAAGACTTTCTGTTGCTGCACGGCTGCGTTGGATCACATGACAGCACGCTTGTATCAAAAGTGTTTTACAGGTTAACCTTGTTTGGTTAATTTGGTAAATCGCAATAACAGTAGGATGTCTTATATGGTGTAGATTGCAAAGGCATGTGATACTGTCAGGTATGGAATTTTTGGCTTTTCTTCAATTTAACTGAAGTTCACATTCTCCAATTGAAACCCCACAAAAATATGCATTCACTGATTGGCCACCAACCCAAATCTGTAAAGCAAGTTTGGAAATGAAAAAAGACAGATATAAAGGGAATAGATTAAATCATCATGGTCCAAATGATCCTCAACGAATGCTCTATAAACATTGTTGATTCAACCCTGTGGTGCTATTGTTTTTTCAAATAATTATTCTCTATCACTATAGGGAATTATGTCAATAAAGAGACAGAATGGACAGATTTCATTGCTGGTTTTCAAGGTTTAATTGGATTTCATTGGATTTTGGAACCACTGACAAAAGATACAAATAACACAATATGCCTGACATATTTCCGGGTTGAAGGTATGGCCAAAAATACACAATCATTGAGTCAATTTACTGTGTCTCAGACAGACTCAGACTGCTTCACTAAATTGGAGTCCTCCACAGTAGTGAATTCAAATGGCAATTTGGGAATGCAGTGCTTTGGGGTACTCTACTTGAATTGAGTCAAGTAGAGTACAGTAGTTATTAGTAGTTGTGCAGCATCCCCAGAAAGCGCTTTAAACAGAAGTGCAGCCAAGGCAAAGCACTGAGAGAAAAACCTATAAGAATAATGACATCTTTGAAGGGAGTGTCTTAAGGCTAAGAGCTGTTCTAGCCTTCTAGAATTGGTCCCACATAAAGCACCATCACAATTTGATTTGGATATAAACAGATATTTAAAGCTGCAATATTTAATTAGCATATTTTCTGACAAAAAAGGCAGTGACAGGTAACTGTTTGAATTGTTGGGACTTCGTTCGCTAGTAGACCGCACAAAGAAGGATTGTGTTTTATCAAATGCGTTGGTGTGTTCCAACCTTGCTGTACCTACTTGTAACACACAGTCTATTAGGTTGAGAGTTAGAAATGTACCACTATTATAAAACACAATATGCAACGAGAAAGGCGGATGTTACTTAAAAAGAAAACAAAAAGAAAATGTATGAAACAATACTCTCTTCGTTGGGATCTGCACCTTACAAGTTCTGCTACTCTGCTGGCTCACTGCAAACAACACGTTGCTCTTGTAAGAAACGTAGGAACAGTTCGCAACTCGCTGGTCAAACAAGACAGCATTCTTCAGAGGGACAGAAAGGACATCCCCTCCACTTCCCCATGTCATATTAGAGGATTCCTTTATGATGTGGCTGTAGTGTGTATGTGTGTGGGATGAACTGTTTATGGGTTGACCAGAGTAAGAATAGCTAATGCCTTTGCTACTGCCAAGGGGATCTGATAAAGAACGAAAGAAAGCAAGACGACTACATACCAGTATGGTGGAGACGACCAGGGATCGATTAGACAAAGAATCAGAGACATTAGTCGTTTTCCCTCTCTGGTTGTCCGTCATGTTCAGGCCACTTGGAGGATCCCAGGTACCAATCTGTGGACCAGGACAGTTAGTTTCAAATCTAGTCAAACAAGCACATGGTCACAGCCCGATAAGTGTTGTTAGGCTTTCTCTTCTGCACACACTCATTGGGAGAGGACGAGCAACTCAAATTAAACAAAAGTATAAATGCAGGATGTGCTTTAGTTTGGTGTGCTATTTAGAAACAGTAACAACATCTCCAGACTGGACTACTGTAATTCTCTGTTATCAGGCTGCTCTTGTAAATCTCTTAAGCCTTTCCATTTGACTCAGAATGCTGCAGCACGTGTATTAACAAGAACTAAGAAAAGGGATCATATCACTCCTGTATTAACTTCTCTGCACTGGCTCCCTGTTAAATCAAGAATAGATTTTAAGGTACTTCTCCTCACCTACAAGGCACTTGCTGGTGAGGCACCGTCGTATCTTAAAGAGCTACAAGGCAGCTGTGCTCCATAGATGCTGGGTTACTTGTTGTTCCTATGGTTTTAAAAAGTAGGCTGGGGGCCAGAGCCTTCAGTTATCAAGCTCCTCTTTTGTGGAACCAGGTTCCACTTTCAGTCCGGGGGGCAGATTCGGTCAGCTCTTTTAAAGTACAACTTAAAACTTTCCTCTTTGATTCTGCATATAGTTAGGGCTGGCTCAGGTTAGCCCGGACCAGCCCTTAGTTAAGCTGCTATAGGCTTAGAATGCCGGGGGAATTCTTAGGACACACCGAGCTCCTCTCTCACGCTCTCGTTCTACCATAATTCACGTTTTATTATGACTAATTCAGCTTCTTTCCGGGAGTTTTTTTTGTGCTTTCTCCCCTAGCAGGTCTCCGTAGATCGTGGTTCCTTCGGGACCCTGGTCCTGACACCTACCGTGGCCCTGCTGACGCCTGCTGCGGCTATCATCATCATTATTTTTTTAGATATTAATCATATTACTGTACTCATAAACCAACATTACCCTCTCCTTAAGTCTCTGTGCTCTCCCTCCCCACAGGCTTCTGTGGATGGTGGTTCTATCTGATGGTGGTTGCCCCTGCAGTGGTCCTGCTGTGCGCCTGGCTTACTACTCACAGTTACTTGAATCATTTCTGTCATAGGAATTGCATGTATTATATATTGTTCATTCTGTACACATGGCATCCATTGTAGTCTGTCCATCCCGGGAGTGGGATCCCTCCTCTGACGTTCTCCCTAAGGTTTCTTCCCTTTTTTTCCTCTTGGAAGGGTTTTTTCATTTTTGGGGGAGTTTTTCCTGTGCCGATGGTGGGTTTCGGGATAGAGGATGTTGTATGTGTACAGACTCTAAAGCCCTCTGAGGCAAATTTGTAATTTGCGATTATGGGCTATACAAAATAAAATGAATTGAATTGAATTGAATCTCCTGTCTTCTGAAAATGCATACAAACAAGAAAAGAAAAACTAGCATAAGCATACTGTACCTCTGGGCTGGAATATGGAACACGCTGCTCTGTCTAGATGCAAGTGAACATCCAAAATATTTAGAGGAAAATGAATTGGGGAGGTTTCTCAATGCATCTATACATTTAGGGTGAAATATTACCTCTTTACAATCAGCTTTTTGACCACACAGCCACTAAATGAATTGTAGGCAGCTGTGACTCATGAACATTCTAAAAAATCTTCATAGATCTACATAAACTGCAGAATGTCTTTGACAGAAAAGGATTTGGCTATTAGACAACCCTGCGAGACTGATACATGTCCAGTAAAAGAATAGTATTTCTTAAAATGTCAACTATGGTCAAGCAACTAAACGTGGTGGTGGATTGAGGTTGACTGAGTTTGAGTTAACTGTTTTGGTTTATGAAAAGGCAAATTTTAACCAGAGATCTTTGATGAATGAAAACTATGGCCTTTTGTATTATAGTCATGTGTGCTACATGACTCCACTGACCTGATCTGGATTGTGACATTCTTAACATCTGTCTTGAAAGCAAGAAGATGTTTGTGTGTATTTTGTGAGAATATAATTCATGATTAGTAATCCTACCAAACATATGACACACATATAGACATATGTAGAGGCATACAGTATGGGTATATGCAGTACTGCAGTACTGACTCTTTCTATTCTGGAGCCACAAAGTATAATTAGCGGCACCCTGTATACACAATTGAGGGGGGAGGGAGGGAGGGAGGGGACTTCTATACTCCCATATGGAATAGTGTAGGAGACAATGTAGGATCTGGAATGGCTCCGAGGCCTTTCTTCAGGGTTGGTGGATAACAACATTGTGGAGGGCATAAAGTATGAGGCGAGCGTCCTGGGGAAGCAAATGGGAAGAAAAGGATGGATCGTGCCTCAAGGCCCCTCCTGTCTCATCTCAGGTCTTCATCGTGTCTCCAGACCCAAGCCTCCTAGTGAGCTACCCCACCGACCCAAGCCACTGGGATCACAAACACTCAACAACCCCCACCAGTCACACACTCAAGGCTCCTCTGAACCCCCTCATGAGGGCCAGAGATAGGCTTTGTAATTGCAAATCAACCCTTTAATTCAGGCTTCATGAGGCTAGAGGGCTTCTGAAGGGTTTTTTATTAATCGGGTAAATTATTCATGGAGGTGCAGGCACATACAGACCAGAGGTCAAGAGCTGCTGAGAGGCAACGGTGAGGATGCTGAAGTGTCTGTGGTTGCATTGAAGAATATTATTGTATCACCAGTGTTATTACCCCACTGATAATCTCATGAATCTTAAATTGACTGCTGAAAACAGGCGAGTATTCTAAGGAAAAGATGTATTCCTTAGATGTGCCTATTCATCTCAGTACAAAATACATTCTGATGCATATGGCACGGTATGTCATATGCATTCTAACTGACATTAAAGGTAGTATTTGGGCTGTCTGTGGATGCCAAATTTACAAAATATTTACAAAAATGCCAGTTTGAACTCTTCTATTGATGTCTTTCATTTCAGGTGGATGATAAGATACTTTTTTATCCTCACTGGCTCTCTCTATGAAAGGTAATATTTACATTAGTACTGTGTCAAAAATTCTCTCTCCTTTATTCAGCCTAACGCTAGCAGGGGGGGTTAATTTTGCAGCGATACAATGCAAAGTATCGTCTTGCAAGGAAAGGTTGACATTCCTGCAAGATTAATTTGTAAAATCAACAGCGTACTTGTTTTCTTTACCTAATGATGAATATGATGGATGACAAAAAGATTGTGATTGTCTCACTGACACCTTTCTACTTTCTAGCTGACATTGTATTTACCCACTAATTCCTACACACACATATGTTGGCAGAGGTGGCATGGAAAATGCTGGCCTTCCCATCTGGGGCCAAATGGGGTCTACGGTCTAGTGGACAACCTCCTGAACAAAAAAAATGTATTAACTTTCCAGATTTTAAAGATGTTCAGAATGCAGGGTTTCTATATTTATTAAGCCTTCAAAGTCACTGGGCTTTTAGTCAAACTGACCTTCGTGGATCGTATTTCATTGTCTAATTGAAACACACTTCCAACACTGAAGCCGTGCAACAAAGTTACATGACTTACTGGCATACTGTTTCCCTGTGCCGATGTGAGCACAAAGCATGTATGTCAGATTTTCTTCAGTTAGAAAATAAATGTTCCTTTTTTTCCCCACAATGTAAAACATTGATACCGTAGTGGTTTATTTCCTTTCACATTCCATGCCGTCCCCTGTAAGATCGTACTGAACTTGAAGCATTGAACCAGGGTCTAGCAGAACCAGGTAGATGAGTATGATTGTTTAATGCTGCATAAATCATTCATCTTGGTTATTTAGGTTGAAGGACTGCAAAAAACAGCGTAGACCATGTGAGTGTTTTTGTCAACCTCTGTTGAATGCACTTAATGTAAGTTGCTTTTGATAACGGCGCAATGAAAATCTGATGTAATGTAAGGGAAGGAATTAAAATAGTCATTTCCGTTTGCATTTGTGGTATGGACAACAACAATCAGAAAAGATGTTCTTTTAGAAATGTTTGTCATGTATTTCAACTTTGGACAGAGTTCCTGAAAACCTTCAATTAATGGCAGATTAATCTAGATCCAGAATTATACATTCATGTTAACAAGACTTTACAGCAGATTTACATTTCTCTTAAATCACTGCAACATTTCTAACTTAATTGTATGTGTTTAATCACATCATCCTATTGCTAAAGACACCTGCCTTCTCAAGCCCCTCCTCCTTCAGGCTGATAACATCAAGATCGAAGTCTGTCCTCAATCCATTGGTCCGGTTAAAAGTGATTCTCCCGGTCAGGCCATCCCAGTGGGCCTAAAGAGAGGGAGGCAGAGGGACAGCAAACATCAGCATCAAGTCTAAATCTCAGCCTCCTGATGTCAGTTCAAGGCAAAGCAGTCAAGGAGTGAGAACAAACACACTCCTCTTTCACATATTGCCTCTGCCTGTATGGTCTTCCCTTGCTTCAAAACACCCACATAGACTCTGGGGCTGCATTTGTAACAGCGGGAAAGCAATTACCCATTCTTTACCGATATTTAGGGCTGTGATAGGATACAGTGTAGCATGAAAGTAGTTCAGAGCAGGAAAGGCTTTTTCTCAGGTACAAAAAATCATCACAGCCTCATCATTCCGACTGGACACCGGAGACTCTACGGCAGTACAGTGCCAAAAAGCATTTGTCATTACTACTTTGTCTCAGAGTCCGAATACTTCTCCGTCGATACTAGTACCATAAAATGATTCAAGGATACTTTTCTCCAATCCAGGACATTCATAGCCCACTGAGGATGAACCATTTCCATTGTGCACAATTTAGTGCTGAGCATAATTTCGAAAGCAGGCTTATCACATTTTTCATACATGCTGTTTCTCCACAGTGCAATCACGGTCAGCGGTAATTGAAATCCGTTCCACTGGAGCCATTTAGCTGAACAACAGGTGACTTTGGGGGTTGAGAGTTTCCAGTAACGAGGACAATATACGAAAAAAAGCATCAGATTTGGAGAATATGGAAAGAAGAAAACATTAGGAAAGGAAAGCAGAAAGTATGAGGTCTGGATTGAGATTACGTGCGAGTTTAAAGTATAGATTAATCTAAATGGACAGTTCGTGGTCCCATTTGCATAAAACCCCTCGTCTTAATATTTTATTATTTGCCATTTTGTCATGATCCTTGCAAACTAATGGGAAACGGAGCTCCAAATATAGGTTTCCTAATCCACCGACAGAATGTTCTGGATTAACTGTGCCAGGTTTATGAAAGCAGTGAACTGTGGGGTAATTACCAAAAGTGTAGATACGGTGTTTTTGTTTCTGCATGGCTGATTAATGGTGAAATTCAGGAGCAGCCTCAAGATGTCTTCGCTCCTCAGGGGGGTTTGTATGTACACACAAACCAAAAAATCTTTTTCCATGTAAATAAACACATATAAATCATTTCTAGTCATTTATATCGCCTTCCTTGACTGCTCCTGCCTTATTTGCATTGGGGTCTCTGTGTGCTGTGTGAGCACGTGTCTCTGTGTGACTGTGCTACCTCTTTGATGAGGGCCATGAAGCGGTTCCCGAAGCGCCAGGGCTTGTGTCGGTTGCACTGTAATGAGCTGACAGTGATCTGCTGAGACTGCTGCACAGCCACGGCCACCACGTGTACGGCATCGTACATCAGCGCGGCGTCCGTCTGCAATACGAAACAGGGGGGGAACAGAGCGTCATTAACATGGAACACAGCGCACTACGAATCAGCGCGCCCCCGGCGCCTAAGGTCCGTTTAGAATCAAAGAAACATCAATATCATGATGATGCAGAATCAGACATATGAAATCACAGCTGTGTAGTTCTGCTAGAATGGATAACTGAGTAATAGCTTTCTCATGTAAATTAAGAGGTGGGAAATGTGTGGGAGACATGTGGACACTTGATGCCGCATGGAAAAGCATTTGCCAAAGATATAGCCAATATATCTTTTAAGCAGATTTAATAGCAGCCACAAAATTCTCTGGTATTGTCTTCACCTTCTGAGTGTGTGTGTGTATGAGTCATCATGGCGCCATGTGGTCTGCAGAGAAACTGTTTTTATACTCTTGTCTGTGTGACCGCCATGGCATTGCAGCCAGCTAACAAGGAGTCACTCAGGTTTCTAGGTGTGTACTTGAGATAGAAAATGGAAGGAAAAGATTGGGTGCACCTCCAACCACTCACAAATTCTACACACCGCTGCGGTGATCTCATCTGAGATGGTCTGTAGTTTGTCAAACATCTATCAATAGTAGTGATGCAGGTTCATTTTACAGAACCACTCAAAGGAGTTGAAAACAAAATCAAAAATTACATTCATACACAGGCTATATGGATATACAAATGAAGAAATATACATAAATAATAATGGGTAACAATGATCTGCAGGTCAGAGCAGGAGAGTGTGTCACCACAATAAGGACCTTCAGAGTTTTGTGCTGAGCTACTGGTATATTGTATATTTCCTCAATTCTGATTATGTTTGCAAAACATAATCAAACACGCACATTCGGTCTATATTCCAGCAATATATAAGTTAGTTAGTTAGTTATTAGTATTGGGTAAAAGCTAAAGATAAAATAGTCCTGTAGAACCTACCTCTCTAGCTACATCTCTAATTCACAGATCAAAGGGTGGTAGCCAACTCTTAAAAGCAGCTCAGAACCACTTAGTTCTTGTCAAATGATTTCTACCGTTTGGAGCAAATAAAATGTGTGGTATTGTGAGTGCAATAATACAGAGGCCCCCAAAGGCTCACAGAACTACGTTTGCATTCACTCACATACATTTTACATCCCCCGGTCCATAGGAACAGCACGTTTGTGGTGCAGTCTGGTTATAAAACATCATCCATTTATTTCTCATTAGTCCTTTCAAAAAGCAGAGCCTCGACAGCATCCAGTCCCTGTGAGAGCTCAGCTGCTCCAGGCCGGGCTGCGCTCGTGAAGCCGTGCCCGTGTGGAGAATGCTCGAACTGTGGCTGCATCTACTTATAAAATACGTAAGTGTATTTTTTATAGTTATAACTAATAATACCCGATGACTTGAATGTTTTCAATTCTCTTGACATCAAAAACAGTAAATACAGTAAATAAAAGACACCGACAGTGAAGCCGGTGATACCTAGAGAAGAGAGTGGAAGTAAAAACAAGCATCATTCTTTTTCTAACTAAACTATGGTGTTAATATTTTCCTTTTATTATAAAGCAACAAGAGACCGATCAAGCAAGTTCAATCACCAACAAACTAAAATAGGCTTTTGATAGGGGCACAATGCTTTTCCCATGCCGACCGTGTGTTCACCCCTAGTCTCTCTCACTCTTCTAATTTTATAATAATGTATTGACAGTAAACAGTCGGTCCAAACAGAGGAGTAACACCGGCACTATCAGAAGTGTCAGTCATCCACGCTTCAGGAAAGACCACAATAATTCTGCACTCCCTCAAAAAAAAAAAAAAAAAATCAAATTATTGTTTGTCTCGCTTGATTGAAAAGCAATCAAAACAGCTTTCTGCTGTAGGAACATGAAATCGTGCCCTGAGGTGGAGGGGAGCGCATTGTCCTGCAGGAAGAAATAACTCCTAAACTGAACATTTTAGTCCTTATTGAGCCGCGGAGGGCTGCTGCTTAGTTTGCTTGTTTTAATCAAAGAAAGCTGTGAAAACACTCCATCAGTTGTGTAACAATTGTGTGTTTGTGTGTGTGTGTGTGTGTGTGTATAACTGAATCAACATGCATGAGACATGTCCAGATATTTTCAAAATCAATCATCATCAATAAGCCTGCCTTCCAAAAACTGAGTGCCTGCAGGAGTGTTAAGTATTGATAATTGTTGTAAGAAGACAGTGTTAAAACAAAGGGTGTGAATTTATTATTATATAATTAATCAATCCTGCACTTAAAGTAGAATCGCTCATGCTACATGGTAAGAAACTTGTGTGCAAGTGAAGACGTTGATGCATGGAGCACACAGGAGAATAGGGACCAAGAACAGTAAAGGGTTCAACAGTATCCACACAAATCAACAGCAATTCAATATCTTCTGTACGATGTCCAGGAGTTCATCCTGGAAGTGGTACAGGAGGAAAGCTTGTGTTGTAAAGTATCCATAATGAATAAAATTACATTTAGTGGCAACATCCTTTTTTATCTTTATGGTTTTGATTATACTAGGGCTGTCACAATTGCTCAGAAATGACGTTTGAATATTCGTTTGATTCTGATCAAATTAAAGTAAAAAAAATGGATTCATCAAAGTTCATTACGGTAAACTCCATTCATGAGATTGCATTTTAACAAATGAAAACTTCCTTATTTTGCTTTTGGCCAATTCCATTTTTTACTCAACAGTTGTTGCAGCCAATTTAATTTAGTTTTTACAGCCCACTAAAGGCACTTTGGATATTTGTATTTGTGATTAGGAGAAAACACAAAACATTGTATGCAATTGAATTGCATTGAAATGTTCGTATGAATGACGCTTAAGCTTAAGTCAATTCAGTCAGAAGAAATAAGCCTGTGCACTTTCTCAGGTTTGAACCTCACTTCCTGGGGTTATGGGTAGTAATGATGAAAAGAGGAAGTGTGCGACAGAAAAGAGGCAATCGACCGCGCCTGCCATCTATGTTATCATCAATGTTCGTTCACAGGAGGCTTCTGCCTGCCTCTTTTCCAGTCCAGCTTTTCTGATCTCGCGGGGCGGTGTTGCGCTTTTTAAATAAAGCACGATGAGACCTCTGTGGGGTACCATCCTTATCGTGGTCGAGAGGTTTGTGTGTCCCTATGCACCTAAGCGCTGTGTTGTCTGGAGCCTTGTGCTCCTGGTAGGGTTACCCTTGGCAAACTGGTCTCAGGCAAGGGGCAAGACTAAGAATGGTTCAAAAGACCATGAAGTCAATCCCAGCCAACTTTTACACCAGGGTGTACCCTGTCTATCACAGGCAATGTATAGTTACCAATCAACCTAATCCCCAGTGCATCTCTTTGGACTGTGGGAGGAAGCCGGAGTACCCGGAGAGAACCCAGGCAGACACCGGGAGAACATGCAGACTCACACAGAAAGGCCACTGACGTGGCATCCCAGGACTCTAATCCCCATGGGCTCACCATCTGTGGGGGAAACTGATGGGGTCGGGTGCGCTGCTACAAGGGTGGCAGTGACAGTGGGGGGTCTCTTGGAGTTGGAGTGTCCTTTACAAACACCATGTTCGAACATAAGGCTGTTCATAAGTGTATGTGGTACCAGAACACCCTAGTCCAAAGATTTTAGAATTTTGTAGTTGTATTGTCTGATTTAAGGCTGCATGTTCTGGACACTCGGGTATAGAGAGGGGCAGAGCTGTCAACTGATCAACATCTGCGTCAGAGGATGGGGGAAGACTCAGGACAGACCTGGTAAACCCAAGCGTGTAGTGAGGGTGACCTGGGAACGTCTGGAGGAGGCCCCGGTCCAAAAGATTTTCAACTCACTCCTCCGGCGGAGATTCTCTCACATTCCTGTGGAGGTAGGGGACAGTGAACCAGAGTGGTGTATGTTCAAAACTTGAGTTGTGGCCTCAAGGTCTAACCCTGTGGTGGACACCGGTGGTCAGGGAAGCTGTCCGACTGAAGAAGGAGGCCTTCCGGGTTATGAAATCCGGTGGGACTCCGGAGGCAGTTGCAGTGTACCGACAGGCTTGCAGGGCAGCAGCCTCTGTTGTGATGGAGGCAAAGCAGCGAGTATCAGAGGAGTTCGGGGAAACTATGGAGAAGGACCTTCGGTCGGCACCAAAGTGCTTCTGGAAGACCATAGGGCACCTCAGGTGAGGAAAACGGGGAACCATCAAAGCTGTGTACAGTAAGGATGGGACCCTGTTGACCGCAACTGAGGTTACCCGGCGGTGGAAGCAACACTTTGAGGAACTCCTGAATCCAACTTTTATGCACTCTTTGGTAGAGGCGGAGCTAGAAGAGGGATCATCGTCAATTTTCCTGGCGGAGGTCAGTGAGGGAGTCAAACAACTCTACAGTGGCAAAGCCCCGGGTATTGATCAGATCCGTCCAGAGATGCTAAAAGCAATGTGTGTTGGGGGGCTGTCTTGGATGACACGCCTCTTCAACATTGCGTGGAAGTCTGGGACAATGCCAAAAGAGTGGCAGACCGGGGGGGTTGGTACCCCTCTTCAAAAAGGGGGACAAGAGAGTGTGTGCCAATTACAGGGGTATCACACGCCTCCCGGGTAAAGTCTACTCCAAGGTGCTGGAAAGGAGGGTTTGGCCAAGGACCAAGGATTGAAGAGGAACAATGCGGTTTTTGTCCTGGTTGTGGAACGACGGACCAGCTCTTCACTCTTTCCAGGATCATGGAGGGGGCTTGGGAGTATGCTCATCCAGTCTACATGTGTTTTGTGGACTTGGAGAAGGCGTATGAACGGGTCCCCCGAGAGAAACTGTAACCGATCCCTGTTCATTACATTACATTTCATTTAGCTGACGCTTTAATCCAAAGCGACAGTAAGTGCATTTCAACCATGAGGATTCAGACTCAAAAGAACAAGAAATTATTTAGTTCATTAAATAAGCCGATTTACAACTTGCTATAGATAAGAGCCATTACAAGTACAATTTAACACGAAAAGAGCGATACAGGAGGAACAACAAGAGACCAGAAATGCACCAACACA